GGACGTTTTCAGCACGTTTGCTGATAGACATGCATCCGTCACAGCTGCGGAAGCAAGAGGAATAGACGTAGAAAACATAAAAAGAACAGCAGGCTGGTCAGAAAACTCACAAATGTTTGCGAGGTTTTATAATCGCACAATTGTCACAGATAATAAGGAGTATGTGAAAGCTATCCTCACAAGGAAGAAAAAGTAGAATAACTTATTTATATAATAACCGTGTTTCTTAAGTAAGAGTAAGCAAAAGAATACAGAAGATCTAAAGAAGCTAGATCTTGGTACGCTTTTATCTGTATTTTTGTTTTTCTCATCTCAAAACAGCTGCTAATGTAATCATCCCGAGCAACATTCTTATATAATAACGATCGAACTTCACGTACAGGCAAGTTCGTTTGATCGTTCTATTTTAATAATTGACGGCTTTTTTTTTTGGTACATAGGGGAGAGTAATCTTTCGATTAGGAAACCAAAGGCGACCAGCATAAATCGAATCACAGCTTTTAATAAAACTGAAATAAGCATGTTCTTTGAGCTACTTGGCCAGCTAATGGAAAAGTATAAATTTGTCCCAAGGAATACTTATAATTGTGACGAGACAGGAATTTCCACAGTTCAAACTCCTGGAAAAATTGTGGCTACCAAAGAACAGAAGAAAGTGGGATCAATAACCAGTTGGGAGCGAGGAAAGAACATCATTTTGTTGTGAGCGCGGCAGGTGGATACATTCCACCGATGTTCATTTTCCTTAGGAAAAGATTAACTCCTTTGCTAGAGAAGTATGGTCCAGCCGGAGCGTTATACAAATGCTCTGACAACGGTTGGATCAATGAGAATATTTTCCTTGAATGGTATGTGCATTTAAAACAGCATGCTAAGCCATCTGCACATAAACCTATCCTTCTAATACTAGACAACCATGCTAGTCATATATCTCTCACCATCTACGAATATTGTACGTCCAATCATATACACATGTTGTCTCAGAGAGAATGCAAATTTTGGACGTTTCGTTCTTTGGGCCCCTCAAAATGGCCTACAGAAAAGAATGTGATTCATTTTTAAAAAGCCATCTTGCTTAAAAGATAACGCCCTATAATATAGCATCCTTGGGGAGGAAAGCATTTATTAATGTTGGGTCCATTAGTAAAGAAGAATCAGGGTTTAGAGCTTCTGGAATAGTTCCACTAAATCCGGAAGTATTCACAGAAACGATTATAATCCAAGACAGCAATGAATCTCTTGCAGTTGTGATTTCCAGCCCATCAAGTCTTAGAATGTCTGAAACATCCCCAGTATCTGGTACGTCAAATAAAATTAGTGTTCATATGCATGATTTCATCAAGTTGCAAGAGAAAACACCTGCGGAAAATACAAGGAAGGGCCAAAAGAAGCAACACGCTACAATTTGAACTTCCACACTAATAAAAGAAACCTTAATAGAAAAAAGAAAATAAAATAGGGGTAAAGAAAAAGGAAAGAGATGGAAAGGTAAAGGTCAGGGAAAGAAGTTAATACAAAAGAAAGGCCCTGAAATAGCAAAGCGCCAGTTACTGCAGGAAAGTAACGAAACTTCTGTATCCGATTTAGACACGGACGACTTATGCCAGGACGATGAGGACGCAGAAGAAAACAGATGTCTAGTGTGCAACGATTTTGGAAGAAACAGTGAGACGTAGTTCAGATTCACCTCATGGTTATGAGCTCATGCGGAATGCACTGGGTGAGACTCAGCGGAAGGTTATGTCTGCAATATCTGCTAGATTTCGTATGACTCCGATTGCCCCCAGTGTGACCACCATTACTCGCATGTCGGTGTAATGGGAGTCAAATCTGTTTTTTTTAATTGTTATAATATCCAAAATTGATTGTTAAAGTTACTGAAAGTTACCTAAGTAAATAATGTTTAAAGGCGGTTGCAATAAATATTTTGTTAATAATTGAAATTTTATTTTAGTTCTTCCTTAAGTGACCCCCATTACCCTCTTTTACCCTACAATCAAAAAAGTTTCTACAAAAATTGGAAGTACTTCTTAATTATATGATGCAAATGGTAACTGAATTAAAAGCGTCCAGAATCGATGTTATCTTTGACTAGATTTTTACCCCACCGATAAAAATTATAAACATTCTCAACGATTCGAATCTGCAGAATCAAAGTGCACTTGAACTTGTTCTTGAACAAGTTAGTCCTAGTGATTTCTCTAAAGAGTAGAGAAATTCTAATCTAAACAAGCTTTAGTTGATTTTTCATTTCATATCGGGCTATTGATGAAATGTCGCCATTGGTATCGAAATTGTACATATTAATTTCAAAAAGTGTCAGTTCTTTACAATTAATGAAGCCAACAAAATTATGACAAGTATCATTGAAGAACTCTTTGCTTAAATCATGAAGAAGCTGATTCCAAGATAATATACCATGTGTGTAAAATCGACTATGGAGAAAGTATTATAATCCGAACTGTTGATACTGATAATGATTATACCAGTGCCAGTGCCAATTTAAAATTATTATTTTTCTAGTTTGTTTATCTTTTAAATATTTATTATAATTCAAAGATATGAAACCTAAGATTATTGGTGTGCAATATGAATGGCTGTGATTTACTATTAAAGAGATATGACCCAAAACCAAAACGTATATTTTGTACGTAGTACCTCATAACTATTCACAGAATCTGTAGCTTTTAGATTTTATTCCTTCTTGTGCTCGACATAGAAGAAAAGATATCGTGCTCGGAAGTTATTGTATGCATTAAAGAATGCGGATTATTGAATAAAATTCAAGGACTAACCGTTAATAAAGTAGCGGCATACACTGCATTTATGAGTGAATTAAATATTTTGATAGCAAAAAATGATCAATTGTTCGATCATATAAATCGAAATTTGCGTTGTTTTGTCCATATTTTAAACTTTGGTGTTCAAGATATTATGAAAATGTTGAAAGTAGACTAACCAGAGAGTAATAATGATGACGATTTAGATGAAAACGAGTGGACTGAAATGATTTGATATAATTTTAGTCCATCATCTGCTATTTGTAAATTGCGCAGTACTTTTATTAAAATAAGAAAGTCTGAGCAATTACAGAATAAACTAATCGACTTTTGTAAAAGCAAAGAAAGATTTTCCATTCCTGGCTTCCGCATAATTCGCCAGGACCGAGAGAGACCAAGGGCGGAGAGACACTCATTGCAGTAAAAAGACATATACCTAGTTTTCCAAGCCATACCAATAGCCCTAGCGGCGTGTAGTATATAGGTATACTTAACGTATACTTAACGTATACCTATATACTTTTTTAAAATCCGAGTGTAATTTTATGAATGAGTCATTCTCGGGGAGATAGAAGGGCGAGCACATTCCTTAGGCTTCAGCCGCATGAACAGGAACATATTTGGGCTGTGTAAATCATCAAACGGCCGTAATAATAACTTACACTGTGGTTAAAACATGCTCGGAACAGTTAAAACATACATAGTATGGTGGGGATCTTTACCCAACACACATTTCTATATTTTCAAACTCTATAACTTTCTTCATCTATATTGCATGCCATAATTCTTCATCTAAAATTCCCAAAATTCCTAATGTCTTTTATTTAATAATTTAATTTTTATTTTTAGTATACTTTCAACAATGAACGCGGATATAGGTCAACAATAGACTATATCATCACGAACAGGGAAATACCAACAACAGATATATTAGACATAAGAAGTTTAACATCAGCAGATATTGGAAGCGACCACAATTTAGTTATGGCGAAAATTAGAACTAATCCCATCAAAAACGAAATCAAATAAAGAAACTAAGCTACAGAAAAAATAAAAGTGGAAGGACTGTCAGATGAAACAACAAGAAACCTTTACCTAAATAGACTAGAACAAAAAATATTGAACAACAGCATAACAGATGAGGATGAGGTAGACAAAGCATGGGATAAACTAAAGACCAATGTCACACAAGCTGCAGAGGAAGCATTGGGAAGCAAGGAAGTAAAACCATACAACCCCTTTGGAAAGAGAATGCCCTGGTTTACCGACGAAATAAAACAAAAATGTAAAGAAAAAGACTTGCATACCAGCAATATAGAACGGAAAGGACAATGCAATCATACCGCAAATACAAGCGGAAACGCACCGAAACACACGAACTAGTCAGAACAACAAAAACGAGCATTTTAGGATATCTCGAAAATCTAGAACATGATTTTTATGGAGCCCAAAAATCATATGGAAAACAATTAGACGACAAAGACAAGAACTCAAAGAGCTGCTAGAGAGTAAGCATATAGAGAAAGAAACCTGGATCAAGTATATTGAAGAACTACACAATGCAAGCATAGACGAAAACGCGATTAACAACACAAGGATTAGAATACAAGAAGAAGCTACTAGTGTGAACAAAAATGAGATCGCAGAAGTACTAGCAAAACTGAAAACAGAAAAGCAGCCGGCCCGGATGGAATAGCCAACGAATTATTGAAGTACGGAGGTGAAAAATTAATAACAGAAATTACCAAGATGATCAACAAAGTATTAAAAGAACGCAGAATACCCAATGAATGGAGGACAAGTACCTAATTATGCTATTCAAAAAAGGAGATAGGCAAATACCATCAAATTACAGGGGAATCACCTTACTCAGTACAACACTAAAAATAACAACTCGAATAATATCCAACAAAATACTAGAACGAACTACATTCGGGGACGAACAACAAGGATTTCGAACAGGAAGATCGTGCAACGACGCCATATTCATCCTTAGACAAATAAAAGAGAAGGCAATAGAATGGAACCGACCAGCATTTATCTGTTTTGTGGACCTAAAAAGCCTTTGACCGCATAAAGCTACATGACATCACAATTATACTACAAAATCGACAAATTCCACAAGACATTACGGAAACAATAGAAAACATCTACACCAAGAACCAAGTAAAAATAAGAGTCAATAATGAAACAACTGAGCCAGCCAATAAACATCGGAACATGGAAATAGCGCCTGAAAAAACAAAATGTATGGTATTATCAGCTACACCAATCAGATGCAAACTGGAAGTAGAAGGAAAAATAATAGAACAAATCAGCGAGTTCAAGTACCTGGGAATCAACATTTCAAGCCACGCAGGTATAAGGGAAGAAGTAGCGGAACAAGTTGAGAAGGGAACTAAAATTGCGGGATGCCTGAAAAACACCATATGGAATAATAAACACCTAAGAAAAGAAGCTAAGGTATCTATTTATAAAGCAGTAATTAGACCCATTTTAACGTATTCAGCGGAAACAAGACCGGAAACAACAATAACTGCCAGACTTCTTACAACAGCAGAAATGAGAACACTACGGTGTGTGGAAGGCAAAACGATCAGAGACAGAATCAAGAATGAGGACATCAGAAGAACGTGCAAAATAGAAAACATTACTGAATGGAGCGAAATGAGAAGGAACGAATGGAATGAACACATAGAAAGAATGGAAGGATCGAGAATAGTTAGGGTTGCTAGAGACAACTCTCCAAGAGGAAGAAGATCACTCGGTAGACCAAGAAAAGGTGGAGTGATCACTTCGGCCAGGCCCACTGAAGAAGAACAGGCAACAGTGCCTATTTTGGAAGAATAAGAAGAAGAAGAAGAATTTTTATGTCCCGTAGTGCAACTACCATCTCACCATCTGTGCCTTCTAAATTCTTCAACATCTGCATTGCATGCCATGGCCCAAAATTCTTAATATTTTAGTTTTATTAGCTTGCTATTAGTTTAAATCTTTTTATTTTTCCAATTTCTTGCTGGTAAGAGACAAGAAATGAAGAACGATACTTCTTCACCAGACTTGGTAGTCTCCACATCTTTAATAAACACCTCAGACAATACACATTCGACACTACATACACACATCACCCACAACACATTAAAACAATTAAAACAAAAGTTGGTGATCTGTAGAAAGACCTTTTTGCGGAGTATAAAAAAGCAAAAGAAACTTGGTATTGCTCAGAAGGAATTTAATGAAATATGGGCTAGAGCAAAGCAAAACTGTACTACGAAAGACGAATTTTTCAAGTGGGCGAATGATCTTCTACTAGATTACCGCCAGAAGAACAAAACAAAGAAATCGTCCAATATTCTTTATTATTGTACTAATTCTAAAAAAAGTAAGTTTAACTTACATAATATGTGTCTGTTTATACATACATACTACTATTATTAATTTTTCAGAATGCCAGCGAAGACATTTCAGCGTAAAACTTCCTGTAAAACTGGAGTGTAGCAACGAAAATTTACTCGATACACCAAGTACTAGCAGCTCAATACCGCAGCCTGTACGGGCTACTCCTGCACAGGATAAGTTGAAGACTCAGATTTCTCTTTTTCAAATGGAATGTGACCTAGTTGTTCGTGGTAGGGATTCCTTGGGCGCCATTGAAAGTGAGACGCGTGATGTGACGAAACTGCGCCGACAAATTGATAAATGCAAAAAGGAATTACGGAGGAAGGAGCAACATATGCGTCACTCCCAGTCACATAGGTTATCGATGAAATCGAAGATTAAACTTGCTTACAATCAGAGTCCGATTGTAGCCAATCTTCTTAAAGCGCGTTCTGTCCCAGGACGCCCACGCCTGGAAGAGCAACAAACGGAACTGCTAAAAACTATAGTCGATTTGGCTATGTTTGGTGCATCTGCGGAGGAACGGCGTCGCTCAGAAAGTGTTCGCAGTTGCCAAACACTTACTGACCTCCATGAGAAGCTAAAGGAGCACGGATTCCAAATTTCGAGGAGTGGCACGTATCTTCGGTTGCTCCCAAGAAATTATACCACCTTGGAGGGTAAAAGGAGGGTAAAAGGCATGTAGTCACTGTGCCTGTCAAATTGAGTCGCCCTGAGGCAGATCACCATAAGGTTCACGTCGATCACCATTTTTGTGTCGCCACAATAAGATCACTGGAAACGCTGGCATCTATTCTCGGTCCTAAACAAGTATGTTTTCTGTCGCAAGATGATAAAGCCCGGGTACCTATAAGTTTGACAGCCGCAAATAAACAAGCTCCTCTCCTGATGCATGTCGAATATCGTGTCTCATTGCCTGATCATGATTGGGCGATTGCTTCAAGGCACAAATTGATTCCTAGTGTATATGCTGGGTGCAGAATAAAAGGAAATGATATGGGCCGGGCAGAAGCAATTTCATACTCAGGGCCAACATACGTGGCAAACATTCCTCTTCCACAGCTTCTACCATGCTGTGAATTTTAATAAGCTTGCGACTCTCGACAATTTCAAGGAAATTATGCGAGATGAAGAAGGTCGCCTGAAACCATTGTTCTGATTTCATCTGATGGAGGACTCGACGAAAACCCGAGATATTCAAAGGTTATTTCCTGCGCCATACACAACTTTATAAAGCATGATTTAGATGCAATATTCATTTTTACAAATGCACCTGGCAGAAGCGCGTTCAACCGTGTTGAGAGAAGAATGGCGCCTTTAAGCCGGGAATTATCTGGACTTATACTTCCGCATGATTCTTATGGAAATCATTTGGCTGAACAAGGAAGAACAAAAGATCATGATCTTGAAAAAAGAACTTTCAGAAGGCTGGAGAAGTTCTCTCAGAAGTATGGAAGAAAATGGTTATCGACGGCCATGACGTTGTAGCAGAGTGTCAAGCCCGATGACAAGGCTGAAAGGTTTGTTCCAGACCTGCCTTCTCCACAGTGGTATAGCGAGCATGTGCGAGATAGCCAGTACATTAGTAAAATCTTACATATTATTTTATCATTAGTTCTTTTATCGCATACGACAATATGATTAAGATATCTTAATATTATTACCAGGTGTTGAAGTGTGATGACCGCGCTTGCTGTGGACATGTGCGGAGTTCTCTTCGATCCATTTTGCCGGAACGCTTCTTGATACCTCCTTACTCAATTTTGCAGTCGTCTAGTGGCCTGTGTATACCAAAGCCTCAAGAGCATGATGGCAAGACATTTGCTACGTGTCAGTGGTGTGGTTTGTACTTCGGTACAAAGAAGAAAGTCAAAAAACACGTAAATTCATGTCACAAGCAGTGTAGAAATATTAATAATAGTGTAGAGATGCACAATGTTCATCCTTCACGCATTCTCACGCGACGATCGAACGGCAGATCGAGAGAAATTCTCTGCGTTGTGCGTGAAAATGATGACACCGAGTGGTTCGATGGAAGCGACGTGGATTTTCAACAAAACATAGTGCCAACAACTGACCTGCAAGATGCCTATCCAGTTGTTAGTGTTGAAGAAAGTATTGCAAATCCGTGGTCCGAGGACAATATATATTAAATATGTTCATGGACTAGTGTAATACTGTGTAATAGTATAATTTATGAATTAAATAAATGATAGTGATAATAGGGATTAGGCCTGCTGGGGATACCACGATAAAAAAACGCGTACTCTACCTCATGGTGGTGTGGAAATGAGTTTTGGCACAAACGAATGTTGAAGTAGACTTTGCGGCGCCCGTACGCTAAAACTATTAATTTAACTGGGCTAATAACCGTTTTGAAAATTTTCGGATTTAGGGGCCCCAAACTTGATTTGCGCCTAGGGCCCCACTGAAGCATAATCCGCCACTGATAGGGGTCCAAAAAAAGATCACGTGATTAATGGACAGCCCCCTAGCTGCGTAGTAAACTGGATGAATATCGCCTAAAGAGAAAAGTCATTGGAAATACTATCCTAATAGTATCCCAATAGCAAAAGATATTAAAGATTATCAAAGCAGTGCAACTTTGGGAGATGAGGCCAAAGAAAGCATTTTCGCAGTCAAACGAATCTGCAGGCTCCAGTGCAGATTTGAGCCCAAGCACCCCAAACTCGGCATGTTATGCGGTCGCTGCCAGAGATTCGGCCACACGATGCGCTTCTGCGTGCGCCCGTTCGTTTGCGGCTTTTCCGCTGGCGTACATTATTCCAACAGCTGAGAGTTTAAAGCTTGCCGCGATCGCCGCCAGTGCGTTAACTGCGATTGGGCGCACCCCACGTCTCTCCGCAGCTGCTGCCCCTCTGTTCGCACCGCGACGTGTGCCCTACCGCCGCCCACCTCATCAGCTTATGCCACGCTCGCACGGGTCCCTATCGTTGGTGCGCCATCCTACGTCGCAGCAGCGGCGTCGTCCGTCCCTGTCGTCTGCCAACATCACAATCGCACTCCTGCAGGCGATGCACGGCCTAATGCCCGGCCACCTTTCACAAACGCAGTAGGGCGTTTATTCTTTGGCATCTTCTTCACCACACTTCTACATTGGTTTCCGTTCATCGCCTGATAACCACGGCTGGGAAATCTCTACGCATCGTCACATGGAATGCAAACGGCATCCGTTCACACGTTCCGGAATTCGAGCTGACAACAACAACAACATCGACATTGCGTGCGTTACAAAGACGCGGCTTTCAGCAAATCACTCGTTTTTCGTTTTTTTTATATGGCCTTTGAATGCTAATATTTTCCAAGACTCCGACTTTACGCCATCATATGTCACTGTTCCTCCAGATCCTCCCCAAGAGCCGGATGTCGAAGATATTGCACAAAATTAATCATTGAATTAAAATTATAGGCCAAATCGCAACTGCAAACGAACCAACTCCGAGTTGCTCCGGTCTCTAAAAATCTTGTTCGCTATCGATTAAACAAAAAAATAGCGAAAGAAAATCTAAAGTATTGACAGGCGCAGGCCTGAAGAAGCTTTACAAAAGGAATATGAGGAAAAATGAAGAAGAAGAAAAGGCAATATGGAAGATAAAGGAAAGGGAAGATTATTTGTATTAATTGTAGCTCAGATGAAGACTGAATTTAATTATAACTGTTGCGCAGAGTGAGTTTTAATAAGAATAGAGTTTATTATTTAACGCCAATAACAATCCAGTGTTGCTTGATATTGCATAGAACAGAACTACCCTTGACAACGTAACGAACTTAACTAACTACTGACTAACACACAAGGTGGCTAGAAAGCCCCTAAGTCACTTGGGTGAACCCCCGTGGCGCAACGCCACTTGTGAAAGAGCGCAAAACTCAACAATAACGAAACCCACCAGAAGCATATATTAGATATAAATAATTAAATTAATTTATTTACTGTGATTCAAAAGTACCATGATGATAATAAGTTGTGTTTAACTAAATACAACTATTAATAACTAATAATAATTATTTGCTGACAGTGAGGATGTAATACAACCCCTAATGCACCGAGTTCAAAGCAACAACAGAACAATATAACATTGTTCAAGTCAACAACTTTGAACAGGACCAAGCATTAGCCAGACGACCGCGGCCTAATCATAATGACTCAATAAATAGATGATAGCGTATAGATATATATATAGAGAGACACTTTCAAAAATAAATCAGATCATAACCTGTATCGTTTGAATACAATAAACCAAATCATCAAATCTATCAATGCGCCATGTTCCAAACATACGGAGTGCCAAA